AAACTGGCGTGCGACTTGATATTTTCGCGAATGCGATCAACGATACAACAAAGACTGGTTGTAAATTTTTACTTCTAGCTATGATACCAGCACTTGTTGCAGCTACAGCTACGGTTATCGTAAGAAAGCTGCGCTAGATGCCGTTGGAACAGCTGTAGCATGGCACTGAGAAGAAAATAATAGGTCTCAAATTATCTCGACATGGATTAAAGACCTCAAAATAGGGAGAGGGTTTAATATTACCAAGAACGAAGTACGGACAATGTCTGCAACTTTCAGAAACATTTAGGTTAAACACCCCATATGCAATTCTGATTTAATTCATGCTGCTTGGCGATTAAACAAATAAAAACTTCAGAGGTGTTTTCATACGTGATCAGTTACCAGAATAACCAAAGCTTGTTGAAACTGGTATCAATAATCTCTATGGTCTCACTTGTGCAGAACTCACTGAGTTGCACGCGCGGTTGATCCAAGTGGTGTTGTTTATTTTTATTCGTATGGAGTGGTGCCACCAAATGAATTTCTAAGGTACATTTGGCATTCAACATTACCAACACAGACATTAATGAATCAACCTATATGCGGTCCAGAAGTACTTGCTGTACTTAGTGTCGGGTAAATGTCATCAGCGCTGCTGTATAAACTCGTACACAAATACAACACACGTCGTTGTCAACAAGTTAATAATTTATAATGGTAGATATTTACGTAAGATTTGCGAAAATCATGACCGTGAGTGACATTGATTTGTCAGCATATGCAACAAAAGATGAATTGCTGATCTTATGTGTCTCTTGGGGCTGATCGGGGTGAGGATGTTGTTTTTCAGGATCAACATGGACGGATGAACACGAGCAATATTGAGCGGGTCGGTATTATCCTGATATTATTATGTGCGACCAAAGCTAACTTCCCAGTATTTACTAATAGTGGAAATAGGAAAGATCAGAGATTTAAGAGTATCAATCGTGATGATCAGGAACTAGATCCGAAATGAAGTCAGTAAAACCTGGTGAAATCAGGATGAAATAAACAGAATTACTGTTCTGACAACACCAGCATAAGACGAGGAACTGCGTGCACCATAAAAACTCCGCGATTATTACTGCTTTAACTACAACGATTGATAAACTAACCACGTTGCGATGTAAGTATGATGTTCATGTGGGCTTTTATATGAATTTTCGCTGAAACATAAATTGAGCCACTAATAAAAGTTTTGTCGTCGATATTACCTTTGCTAACATTCGCACACGATTCTGACATAGACGCAACAAGATCAAAGGCGATTGGGGTTATTCATACGATTCCGTTCATCAAATCGGCAGACACGTTGATGTATGGATCAGTAACGTAGATAAAGCAAAATAACGCCATCAAAAATACTGGCGAGGTCGCAGGGGTGTGCAGTTTCTCTTTGTTTAGTTCTAAGACATTTAGGATATTTACGATATATCCGTGGCGTTATTCCGAGTATAGATTTCCAAAACCGTGTAGTTGTATTAAATCAAAATGCCGAGAAAATACTCATCTTGGATCACTAAGACAAAAACTTAAGCTCAATGACGTATTGGTGGTGTCTTGAATTTGTAGCAAAAAAAAACAACATATCAATTGATTACTTAGTATATAAGATAGCATGACAATGAATCCCACACCATCTTACATACATAATCTAGCATGTGTGTGGAAGGCATCGCTGAAAACAAATCAACGAGCATACGACGAAACAAAACCTAATATCGCAGACAAATCATCGTCATCGACAATGTTGTATATTGGTGTCCTCACTTGTCGCCGAAAAAACAACGCTAAGTTGCATTTTATAAGAGACGAATGTAATATCGTCCGTGGTTGGAATTTGTGTCGCTGTTGTTGTTGACGTTGTTGGTGTTGCTGGTGTCCTTAGTATCGTCGCGAAAAATTTTGCACATATGCCGGTAAGAAATGACATAAACACATATAAATAACTTTGGCGGCCACGATTACATTTATAAAATTATTATCAATACTGTCAGAGGGGTTAAAAGACAGTGTAATATGAGATAGTGAACTTGCTGAAGTTAGTGATAGTTATTATCAATAACACAAGAACACAACCATATCCGCGTCGATGTTGCCAATGCCACATTTAGAATCTGCCGTATAGATAATAATGACCTCAGAAATAACTACAAGACTGGAGTAGAATTTTGCTAACACAACCTCGCCGGCGACCACAATGACATAAGCAACTATAAACTCAGCCGGAATTCGATACTAGTTTACCAAATCCCATAAAACCACATAATTGTCGATCATTTCAGATCGAACTGGCACAATTAAGACTTCAATATAGTTCGACAAATATTAGAGAAAAATCATTTTATAAATTATCCGCCATCAATTCACTGGTATCTTTACGTAAAACCACGTTAGAAGGGGATCAAGCCCGTTCCAGTCTGGGAAGTAGTTTTTATCACAAAAGGATCATATCAAATCGATCAAATCAATGATGAAATTTCGCGTAGAATCAAATCTACAACGGAAAAAGAATCAAAGCTCGTGGATAGTTGTTACCTGGTTGTATAGCAGATGCAGGCTTGGTTGGTCAAGCAGCGGTATGTTCTTCACGGCTTTTCTCCAGAGGTTCATCCGTGTCATTTGATTGCACCATCTCCCGTTAATCCTGTTTATTTACAGTGTCCTAATCCGTCGTTGTCACGAATATATTTTCTTTTGACCGACCAGGATAACCAGAATGATCATTTCTTGGATAAGCATACGAATTACCAGTTGGTTTGTGACAGGCCGTGACATGGCCAACTATGTAAAATAAGGCCAAGAAACGTAGCGCATTTCACCACCAATAACAAAGAAAACCATATCATTTTTGTCGTTTATTTTTTTTTTATTCTTTTAACTCTTTTGGTAGTGGTGACGGTAGTATTCACTCTTGGATTCAGGTTCCCTAATGGAGTCCAACAAGATCTTTTTTTAGCTGTCTCGCACGTACACCTACAGCTTATTGAGTTTCATATTGGCGAGACAACTCTGCGCTTGCCAGTGGAACAAATTTAGCAATCTCCCTATCATGTAAACCAGCCAAGTTTAATCCATTTCACCCTGGAGCAATTCGATAGCGCGATATTCTTCCTCTAATATATATATATATATATATATATATATATATATATATATATATATATATATATATATATATATATATATATATATATATATATATATATATATATATATCCCTTCGCTGCTGTATCCTTCAAAGTCATCGTTGAACTTTTTAACTTCAATTCAAACCGCGAGGCCATCTTGTTTTGATTGTTCAATCTCAGAAATAATCAATAATATTTTACTCATTCATTATATAATAAATATATTTTTTTAATAGTGTTGCATAAACAACAGACAGTAATGGCTGTGTTTTTATCCGTTCCATTGGGTCCCTTCATGGGGTACCCTTCAATGAGGCTGTTATTCTTCATGCCATTTTTCTATGTCGTTTCATGGTATACCCTTCAAAATGGCCCTTTATGACTTTTCTCTATCTGGCTTATTTTGGCTCCTTACCCTTACTCTCTATTTTTACCACGAAGTGGGAGACATTTTACCCTCATGGTAGTAGACACACCTCTTAGATTGCTAAGTTCAGAAGTTCGGAAGGTTGTACAAGTAATTATTCCACGAGCTTTATTGGTCGACAGGTTATGTACTGATCCCTGACAATTTTTGCACGTCAAATCCCACCCTCAAGGCGAATCCTGTGCGGTGCAAAATTTAGTACCCTGCGGGGTAGGGGATAGGCCAAATTATCAATGATTAGTACATATCCTGCTTACTCTTTATCCCAGCGGGACCCACACTTGTAATATCTTTTTCAAACGTTGACAAATATTATCTAGAACCGGAATGAGCTTTCCTAAGGCGAACACAGAGTAAATGCCTTAACCTTATTGCTACCCCGACTCATTTAGACAGGTGGCATGGTTATCTTGTAGGCAGCTATATTGACTTATGCGTATACGTTGTAAAAAATATTACTTTTAACCATGCATATGTTATAAAAGCTGTTCCAAACCAAACCTGGTTGACTGTGACATTCGAGCATAAATTTGTGTGTTCTCATGTGGACTTTTGAAATACCCAATACTCTAATCATTATATAACCATTAGGGTTTGGTCTAGCTGACAACATATCGCCTTTTTTAACATTTGTATGTCTAACGTTGCAGATTTTTGTCTCCTTCGTATTAGTCTAAATTTTGGCGGGTTTCTCAATTTGATATCGTATATAATACAATTTCATTATACTTGTTTAATTAAAAGTACTTTGTCGTTGACCCGACAAAACGCTCTGGTAATCACAGCGCGATAATTCTCGATCAGGTCGATGTAAAGCTTACAATCATTAGCTTACAATGGTATAACCGGTAACGTTTTTATTTATAAGGGTTGATCAGCTGAAGTTCGTGGTAATAATACGTGGTTCAATAGTGTAAAAAAGCTCTCGAATGTGGAGGTTTTGGTTTAGCAAAATCAATAGTTCACGCTCATTTTTTACCCATAATCAACTCGGTCATCACGCTCGCCAAAGAACAGCATAATTCCAACAACAAATAAGGTATTTGGTGACATCATCTTGTAATTTTATGAGAAATCAAGTTGATTAAAAAAATACTTGCGGAAAATCGCGTCGATTATTAATTTTTGTAAGGCGTCGGTGACACTATTATCTCTGGCAACACTTTTGGGTAATAATACTCAGATAATTTTCCAATACGTCCTACAAAAGGGGATTTAAATTTGAGAGGTAATATTTTATTATCCATGATATTGTATCCGTCCGGGTAGTATTTAAATCCGGGTATAGCGGCGATAGAAATATGGTCACCCATTATATTTTCACAAATTTCGTCTCGGTGTATTTTCTAATGACAGACTCGCATAACGGTCTTCAGAAGCACATCAATGTTATGGTTGATTTTGTTTTATCCACGACGGACATAACCGCTCCGTTGACCTAGTGGTAGGAGCGTCCGCCTCGGATGCGGGAGGTCGTGAGTTCGATCCCCGATTGAGTCATACCAAAGGCTTACACAAATGGTACTGACAGCATCCTCGCTTGACGCTCAGCATTAAGAGGTTAGTGTTAGGACTAGTCGGCCTGGTGTCAGGATAATGTGACTGGGTGCGACATCATGCTACATGTCTACGGCATGATGCCCCAGTGCTAGACATCACTATAAACTGTCACACTGCATATATCGTAGCGATATGACTGAAAAACTGTTAAAGCTACATTAAAAATTATAATCACATCACGTCGACATCTTCAAAAGGATAACAACCACACACTATAGCTAATTTGGAACCATCTAACATGGTTTTCACGAGTTTACCAATAGGCGGTCTTTTGTGTAATCTGGTACATGGTAATAAAATCGTTCACCGTTTTATGCAAAACCATCGTTTCTTTCGATATAGTGAGTTGAAGAAAAAAAAATATGCCTGATGATAGATATGTCACTGACGTGCAGTTGCATAATCCTGAATTTCTGTACCTTCGTAATTTAATTAATATCACGACAGCATACTGAAATAGTGTTGATACTGCTTTAGAATTAGCAATAACCAATGCGATTGGATTTCCATGTAGACAAATTTTATCGACAGACAAGTTGATAAAAAAGATATCAGATGATGGCATTATAAAAATTATCTACAATCATAATCTTATTAGGAAAATAAGCTTGTGTTGCACGAGCACGTATTACATCAGAATCCGCTAAAATTTTCTCAAACATAGGGTGCAATCATGCCCGATGAAAGCACTTACATGCCATCATCGAAAACCGTGAAGCGTAGGAAGATACTATTATTAATGCTTGCATGCGTAACATCAAATCTAAATCTCATCAAAGTTATTGTGCTTGGACCTGATTGTGTATTGTTATCAGCTGAACATCAAAAACAATTACGCTAAAATGGAACTTTACAGATCGTTTGTAATTGTAGAAATATAGTACTTGATGTATAAACAGGTAATAGTTACAGTTATTAAGTTTCAGTAGTTTTTCGTGTAAACATCATAATAATCATAGGAGTGACACAAGTGAGTGTCCCGAAGTCTAAACCGGCTCCGATTACAAAACATAATATCAGGCTCATCGTGACACTTAGAGGAGGGGTCCTATTATATCCTAGTACTTGATTCAAGGTAATATCATGTTTTGTGTGCGGAATCTCTTTTTCAAATGCTACCCATACATTTTGGTAATAATGACACCATTTAACCCAATTTAGAACACTGTGGCAGACAATACAAATTCCATGAACACATCCCTAGGCTAACATCTATAAAGTCAAGACCACCCCTTTTAACTGACAGTGCTATAAGACATCATGGAAATTCCATACCTTTGGATTTATTCTTGGCTTGTGGTGTGCTTGACAATTCATTAGTCTTATTCAGACAAAAATGTTATACAATATGCAAACTGAAGTTTTATGATCTGTTCAGATATGTAGCAATATATATATATATATATATATATATATATATATATATATATATATATATATATATATATATATATATATATATATATATATATGCATGTATGTATAACATACATACATACATACATACATACATACATACATACATACATACATACATACATACATACATACATACATACATACATACATACATACATACATACATACATACATACATACATACATACATACATACATACATATAACGCCTATGTTATAGATATGAAGTATAATTTGTCAAATGTGATTTGGATTCTTACTTTCGTACTACTTTTATTAATGACACAATAGTCCTCTTTAAAGAAAGAAAGAAAAAAAAAGCTTTCTTCACATGCTTGTATTCACAATAACATTATGGTCGAGGAGATGTGTCACCTATAAAAACTGTCATACCTGTCCAAATTGCTACATGAAGTCCGTCATTACTCATAGGACGCTTTATTTCCTTCTACCGTACACTTCCTATCGTAAAATTGGTCAACTGATTACAGCGATAACCTTATTAAATCCGATCGGACTTGTTGTATCAGTAATCTGATTTCGCATTTTCAAGACTTTTTGAGCACAGTACAGGTGAGTGACCAAGAGAAAGAAAATTGTGACAGTCCCGAAATTCCAAATTGACTCTAATTTAAGTTACAGGTTGTCAACGTTTTCACGCTTTATGCTTGAGTTTTAAGCTCAGTTATGTCCCAATGGGTATATATAATAGGCCCTCTTTGGGTCCCGGACAGTAGGATCCACTTGTATTTTCCTAAGAGGCGATAACAGAGAAAACTTATTTACGGTGCGATGCGTGCTGTACAGTTCATTGAGGTATAGAGCACTTTAAAATGTGAAGAGAAATTTAGACTTTAATGTTTCCGGTACTTTTTAGTCGCACAGGCATGTAGTCATACCGACAGCTTTTAGTCAAAGAGGCAGCACAGTCGGCATATAGTCATGAGAACAGCACAGTCAGCTTTTATTCATACAGACAGAACAGCCGGTTTATCCTATAAACAGCAGTATATGCATAACAGACGAGCACATTCGACTATAGTCAAACGGACAGCGCAGTTGGCATTTACTCATACGCGCAGCATAGTCGGCTCTTAGTCGTACGGTCGAATGTGTGTCAAACAGACAAAACAGAGGGCTTTTAGTCCCACGGACAGCACAGTCTGATTTTAGTCATACAGGCAGCACGGTGGGCTTTTAGTCATACTAACAAAAGAATAAGTTTAAGTCATACAAGCAGCACAATTGGCTTTTAGTCATACAGACAGCTTCGGTCATGCACAGATGTGTGAGGTCGTGGGTTCTATCACCGGTCATGTCATACAAAAGACTTATAAAAATGGCCTCGCTTGCATTTCAGCATTAAGAGGTTAGTGTTAGGAATGGTTGGCCTGGTGTCAGGATAATGTGACCGAGTGGGATATCATGCTACGTGTCTGCAGCATGGTGCCCCAGTGCTAGACATCACTAAAAACTGCCACACTGCATACATCGAAGCGATATGACTGAAATATTGTTAAAGCTACGTTAAAAAAAACAAAATCACAACAACAACATCAGTCATGCACACAACACAGGTGGCTTTTAGCAATACAGTCAGCACCTTCGGATTTTAGTGATACATACAGTCAGTCGGATTTTAATCATGCAGGCAACTAGTTGGCTTTTACAGACAGCTGACAGTTGTTATGTTTTCAAACAACACAGTCGGTGTTTTGTCATACAGACATCTCAGTCGGTTTTTAGTCTTCCTTATACCTTAGTCGGTTTTTAGTCATCCATATACCTTAGTCGGTTTTTGGTCATCCGTATACCTTACTCGGTTTTAGTCTTCCTTATACCTTAGTCGGTTTTTAGTCTTCCTTATACCTCAATCAGTTTTTAGTCTTCCATATAACTTAGTCGGTTTTTAGTCTTCCATATACCTTAGTCGGTTTTTAGTCTTCCATGTACCTTAGTCGGTTTTTAGTCTTACATATACCTTAGATGACTTTAAGTCATACATGCAGCACACTTAGCTTTTAGACATAGAGAATGTACAGTCGACTTTTATTCACACAGACAACACAGTGGACTTATAGTCATACAGACAACACAGCTGGAAGTTATGCAGTTACCAAAATCGGTTTTGTATCATACCGACTGCACAGTAGGCTTTTAGTCATACAGACAACACAGTTGTATTATGGTCGTATGATCAGCACAGTCGGTTTTTAGTTATAAAGACTGGACAGTCCGCTTTTAGACATGATCAGCACAATTGTCTTTTAGTAATACAAAAAAGCCTAATGTGATATTTTGAAAAACGATTGATCTGAATTTTACAGTCTACATGGCTCATATGGACTTTTAACACTGGGTTTTCTTATATATAAATATATAATAAGCAAAGCTATAACCTTATTATTTTTACGTAACTATGTATCTTTTATATACATATTTATTTATTTATTTGGTACAATTATATATATATATATATATATATATATATATATATATATATATATATATATATATATATATATATATATATATATATATATATATATATATATATATATATGAACTAGCTTCGATGCCTTTACTAATCTACTCAATAGTTATAAGAAAATAAACATGTCTTCGTTGATTACAGTGCCTTGTGAGTCTTAACTGGATGATCAGCTAACCTTAATCTTTTTATAGCCACCAGATTATTACCAAAGAAACAATTGCACGAAGAAAAAGGGAAAGATTAGAAATGTGGATACCACCGTAAATAAATTATCTACAATGAAATAAGTGTACCTATAAGTGGAAATAATACAGTCGCGTGTATTTCCTGTCATAACCATTAGAACTTTACTCCACTGATACATCACCATGTTGTATATGTTCATATTCCGGACGTACATCCATGATAAAATAAAATTTCTTTCTCTCTCTCTCTCTCTCTCTCTCTCTCTCTCTCTCTCTCTCTCTCTCTCTCTCTCTCTCTCTCTCTCTCTCTCTCTCTCTCTCTCTCTCTCTCTCTCTCTGTGCGTGTTGCGAGTTAATTAATATTGGCCATATTCAACTGTATCACTATTGTCATTAGGAGTACTTAAATGACAATACTTTAAGTTCCTACGTTATATTTAGAAATATTTATACTTCATCATATGAGATGAGTAATATAGTGCTACGTAATCTAACTACAGCTAGCTCTGTAAACAGAAAGTGTGTGTTATTTCCTGGATAATTGGTGTAGAGAACGCACACAATAATGTATGGATACTTGAATGTATGAAATATTTGAAAGTAAGCAAGTATTTTGCTAACAATGTTAGAATATACCCTTAAAAAAAACACATGAGACTGAAATTAGCCCCGGTTCCATCCTTACTCCCAAGTTGGTTTATTCCTTTGGCCTTAACGTCGAAAACTATTGAGATCCACACCTTATAACTATGTGCACATTCGCTGGGCATGACATGTACCCAACTGATCTGTGTGGCAGTCATCCAACTGACATTTGTCTTTGGGGCAGTTTATACTCACAG